GATATATATAGGATGTATCGAAAGTCATGATACAAATGGAAGTGATTTTTCATGTAAATGCAAGTCGAAAATGTAGAATAAAATTTTCTTCATACAAAGTTTTGTTTTTACGAGAAAATAAATTTGGCAAATCCGTTAAATATATATACATTTGATTAATAACAAGAATCAGCTCGCACAAATCTTGTTCTACATAATTATCTCTGTTTGTATTTATGAACAATTTATTTGCTTATACTTCTTTAATTTGCCGAGCAAAACTTTGTGCGCGATAAAAAAGTGACATTTTTAGAAATTTGCAATTTAATAAAATAAATGCATTATTGAAATTTGTTGTATTTCTTTGATAAGTCATAATATGTTCATAACAAATAGAAACAGTTATGTGTAGTAAAATACGACTCTCATTAATCAAGTACACATGTACTGAACGGATCTTCAAAAAGTGGATTTTCTCGAAAACTAATCTTTATATGTGAAAAAACTTTATTCTACATTTTCAACTTGCATTTACATGAGAAATCACCCCTGTTTCGCTTGTATTACTATTTTCGACACCTTGTATGTATATAAAATTAAATATATGAATATATAAATAAAAGAATCCATGTAACGAGTCTATAAATCTATGTACTCATTCCAATTTCAGTTTACTTTGTACTATTATGCAGTTTCAAGTTCAAGCACGTAAGACGTTCTTACTCTTACAAACTGTAATGTTATGGTTATGAGGCAGCGGAACAGTTACTTAATATCTCGGATACAGTCAGCCAGCTTCGTACCTCACCAATGTGATCAACAAGACAAACACAAGAATTCGCTGTAAGTTACGATTACACGCGTGGTGGCGGCGGAGAGAATTGACGGTTGAAAAATTCGCGTGGCCGCGCCAGCAGCAACGGTAGTCGCAGTCAAGTAGAGCGTGTTCGATGGTGTTTCTGAATGTGGAAAGGCGATCATTGGAGCTCGAATTGCCGTTACGCTATTTACGACGGGAAAATTTTGCGCGCGGAAGTTTTGTAGGAGATTAATTTCTGCGGAATGCGCGAAATTAATTTCGATCGACACGCTACTTACAGTTACAGCATCAGAAGAGCGCTTAATGTCTTAGTTATTATAAAGATATAATATTGCACAAACATGAAAAGATATTATAATCTATCTGTCAATTCGATCAATTGAGATATTTTCAATAATACATTGATATATGTTGAATGCAATGCGCAAACCACTTGGCTAAAATATGTTCATAGAAAATAAGAGGATAATATAAGAAACGTTAAAACGAATGCAATATTGTCATATTTCGCTTGATTCACTGCTACATTTATATGTCACTGAAACTCTATCGAACGAGCTTCTTACCGTTAATCCAATAAACATATGAATGTTTTAATGACAAAATATTATAAGGATTAATAATCATATATAATTTGTTTTCTTGTCCACATACCTTTTAAAATCAAACGAGCTCTGTCTGTGTATTCGATTATGAAAGAACTATACACGTGTACGGTTCCTCAGGAGCCCGTGGCACTTGACACGATGAAGGTTCCAGCCTGACTGGCGTCAGACGTAGCTCGTCGAACGGTACTTACCTACCTGAGCAAGTCCCCCTGGCTCTGGAGCGTAGAAGCCGACGATACAATGCACCTCCTGTACGTCTCCTGATGCAGATTCCTGCATCATAGCCCGGATATTATTCGTACTTGACTGTGGAATTCTCGTACTCTTGCTTTGAGACTTTCGAGACATTCGAACGCGCTCGCGTTTGATTTTTTATTTAGAGACCTGTTACGTTTAGAGTGCTTAATTTTTGAATGGCATTGCGAGAGGCTTATGATTTTTTATCAATATTATTAATTTATATCATTATATGTACATTTTTTTTTGACAAAAATGTTATGGGAAATCTAATTGTGAATTAATACCAAAAATTGATAAGCTCAAACAAATAAATTTCAGGAATCTGTATAACAATTATATTGAAATAAATAAATTTGCTTCACAAACATTTTATTTTAGCGTTAATTTTATCAGAATTGATAAATTCGTACTCTTAATAAGATGCTTATTATCTTTTAATTGCATTTATTAAGTTGACTATTTTTGTAATTAGTTGAAAAAATATAAACAATAAAAAAAATACATTGTACCAATTATCTTAGCAATCCCGAATAATTAAGTGTTTATAAAATAATAATTAAGAAAAATGATACAATTTGTATTAAATGAGACTTTGGATAAACATTACATACTAGTACTTTGCAATACAATCTAGTCAACGACATTTGTCAATAATATAAACATTTGCAATCGCAAATGAAAATTACCGTTATCAAATAGCTTCATCAATTTTTTTCGAGATTTCATGATAATATGCAAATTGCTTGACGTGTTTCTATCTAATCTATTTGGAAAGAATTCCAGATATCGAATGAGTAAGAAGTTTCACCGGATAAAATATCTCGTGGGCCTTTCCACAAGGTCGCTGTAACACACTCGAATAGCTGTGTTTCGTGGTAAAACCGGCTCCGATACAGATACACACAAAAGCCGCTTTCGACAGACAGTCGTTGACCCTGCAAAGAATTAGGGAACACATTCCGTGCAACCGGTCTCTGTAATTTCAAATATCGAAGCGATGCTTGACCTGTGCCTGATCTAATGCGATTTTGATTGACCGATAACTTTATAATTACATAACTTTTTATTTATTTTTTTTATATTCTTTATTATTGTTTATTATTATTTATTTTTTAAATTTATATTTTTCTGTTTAATTGTTTAATTACACAAAATTTTTTTATTATTTTATTGAACACTTAACCGATTACAAATCACAATGACACAATGTCAACTCTTGAGTAATTGACTCGTTGATATTTCTTATTTGTTTTTCATAAAAAGTTGTTAATTTTCAAATGTATTGAAATAACTGTTGCGAGGTTTCGCGAGTACGACATGAGAATTTTTTAATGAAGAATCGTTCTTCCTGGAGTAATACAAAAGGTATATTGCGAATAATGGTCCCTTTTATGAAATAGAAATATATGTGCTTTAGAAATTGATATGCAACGCAATTTTACATAATATACATATAGTTAGAATTTAATATTTGAAATCGCAAGAGGAAAATTGTATAATATACTCTCGATTTATAAAGAATCAAATAAATTTTATAGATGTATAATCAGAGTAAATATATCGGAATTTTTCAATATCTCTCTTTTACCGGAAAAAAATAGCAGTTTAAATTCATTGTCCATAAATAAGAAATTAGAAAAGAAAGTCTAACTTCTTTGCGATGTTGACATATAAATATGTATGAGTGATACTTGATGAGTGATATGTATGAATGATACATCTCTTATGAAAGAGGCACGCAATATTTTAAGATTTAAATATTTTTACAAGAGACAATAGATAGAGAAAAAGACTACAATCAATATAATATCCGTATGTCTTAAGGTAGCGGTTTTGTATAGATTGCAACATTCGTATATAGCTAATTTTTTTTCTTCAAGAAAAGATTGCGAAGGACTACGTATTCCTTCGCGAAAAGTCAGCGCAGCTGGAGGTGGTCGCACGCGAATAAAAGATGCACAATGTATAGTGGCATCTTCGAAAAAAGAGCGGACTTTTGTGCTTATACATATCTATGACGGAAGTCCTCGGATTTGGAATGATCATACACGGAGGCACCACCACCATGACACTGTTGGTGCATAAATTGGCCCTAAGCTGCGTTGGCATTTGGCCTGTGAAGAAGAAGAATCTCTTTATGGATCTCAGATGGATCATTGCCGTATTTTTGGAAGCAAGTACTGTTAAATGAGTCATTTATTATTAATCGCACTCCATCTGTATAAAGTTTAATCAAATGCAATTACATTGATTAATACGGATATTAACATAACATCATATCATTAAATATAGTTATGCATTTTTTTCACTTACGCTGAAGATTTTCAGTGAGTGTGTGTGTGATTTTTTTCTTACGAGATATAACAAGTGTGTCGAAAAAGACCTACGTAATTGTCTTCTTTTTTTGCCAAATACAGTTATATAAGATAATAAATTGTTTTCGCAATTATCATCTGCCAATGGAGTCGTGAATGGTACGTCCATGAAGAGAATAAATTTAAAACTGTATTTATATTTTTAGAATTTTATATACTTCAGTGCGGGAATGATTACCATTGTAAATTTATAATTCTGAAACACTCTAGACTAATTAACATAGAAAGTCATATAATTTTTATTATCTATTATATAAATAATTTAATTATAATAATAATTATTATTTATATAATGTATAATAAAAATTATTTGACTAATGTATAATAAAAATTATTTGACTTTAGGTCTGCATTAATTAGTTTAGAGTGTTTCAGAATTATAAATTTACAAGCTTAATCATTTCCGCATTGAAATATATAAAATTCTAAAAGCATTAATACAGTTTTAAATTTATTCTCTTCGTAGACGTATCATTCACGACTTTGCTGGCAGATGATAATTATGAAAACAATATATATGTATATTCATTAATTATTGTTTTTTTATGTAGTATTGTCTAAAAATGGTATCTTTTAATAATCGCACTGATAATGTTTGCGCGTATAAATACATTTTTAATAAAAAGGCAAAAAAAAATTAACATTTGAATATTATAATCTATCGTCGCAATACATGTAACATTTCTTTTTGTAATTCTCCAGGCGGTGCCAATGTGCGTTTATTTTACCGAAATTTACCTTCATTGTAACGGCGCAAAAAAGTCCTTTGACTCAGTAACACCCGGCGCCGCCGCCGCGTTAGCCCTCACAAGACTGATCACGCCTCGTATCCATCGAGAGGAATTACTCGAGATAATCACTTCCATGACGGATGATTGGGTGACGCAGAAGGATAAAAGAGTACGCTCGATCATGAAGAAGTACGCGACGATGTCGACGCGTGTGACGATACTCACCTTCATTCTGGTGGGCATCATAGTCGGTGTTTACGCTTCTATGGCGATATCGGCGATCACTGGGAGAAAGCATAATAACGAGATCGATAATGCAAACACGAGCCACGAGGACCGGATTCACGAATCGTGCGTGTTTCGAAGCGAGTCGTCGCGTCAGGCGTTCATGATCGTCCAGGCGATGCAAATGTTAATCACCGGTATATCGACCTTCGGTACCACCAGTTTCTTCTTCGGATTAGCCATGCATCTGTGCGCTCAGTTTGACGTTTTGAGCGTCAAGCTGTCCGAATTCCGGATCAACAAGGCGTATCGCGCGATAGCCGAAGCGGTCCAGAGGCACTGCCAGCTTATCCGTTTGGCCAACTGTATGGAGGAATCGTTCAATGCAAATATTTTGATGTATCTGTTCGTTACTACCACTCTCATGTGTATAGATGGTAATGCACTTTTAAACATATACGTAAATTGGATTGTTAAAATTAAAGATTATTTCAAAAACTGGACTTTTTTCATCGTATAAAATTATTTTTTTTTTATTAAATATTTTTTTTTGCAGGAACTAATTTTAATTTTGAATTAGTTTTAAATTTAATTTTCATTTAACTTTAAAAAATTAATTATTGTATTGAAGAGAGGAATCATAAAACGATTGTTACGAGTTTATAAGAAAAATAGCTTATATATAAAAACATTTTATGTCTCTTTTTAATTTGTAAATATTGGATGATTGCATAAGTTCGTGCCCGATTTTCATAGATGGCATTAAGTTACTGCATATGACTGTAATTTTATCTAGAAATTTTTTTTATACAACGTTTGCAATAAAATATAGAATCTCGCAAACTTTGGCAAATTTTGAGGATATAAACATTGCGATAATATCTTCCAGGCTTCATGTTAATCGCGTCATTACGTCTCGGCAATCTAGCCATGATTATACATAGCGCTAGCGTTTTACTTCTCATGATGATCCAATTGTCATTTTACACATTCGCCGGTGACTGCTTGGAGATGAGAAGCATCGCGCTGTCATACGCCACTTATGACTGCGATTGGTACGAGCTGCCAGCCAATGTAGCCAGAGATTTTCAGATTATTCTAATGCGAGCCAGTATTCCACATCAATTGACGGCCGGAAAGTTTTTGCCCATGAACATGATTACGTTCAAAGATATTTTGAAATCCACAGCGTCATATCTCTCAGTCCTGCGTGTCATGTTAAATGAATAAGTTATTTATATTCTTATGAAGAATTTGTGTCATCGATTATTTACTTTGTAAAGTAGTTTAAAAGATAATTTTGAATAAATTATATCAATTATATTTTAATTTTAAAAATATTCATTTTTTGCATATAAATTATTATTATACATATGATATTATATTATTTTACAATTTCAGAAATATTCATATGTTATATTATTTACATATCAATATTAAATATTCATATATTACAGGACTAATTTGAATCGGATAATGAAATATCCGAGTATCCAAGTACCCGCTTGGTATTTGAAGTATGCGCATAATACACAAGTATTATCTGATTATTTTTAATTATATTAATTTAACAAAAAAAATCGATTTTTTCTTTTAACAATACAGAATATTTTATATCATTTACTCTTTTCTACTTAAACTCATGACAACAGCATAAAACGATAGACTGACGTTTCATAGTAAGCGAGATCGAAACGTATAACAATATAGTGCTTTGATTTCGGCTACAACCGCGACGTAGGAACTGCAATGCATTATTAATTTTCGCACATCTTTCAATATTCCTGCTCTAAATAAAAGAGACGCGTGCATTGCATACCGCGGATACATATTTGCACATACATTCTAGGCAGAGTCTGTACTCGGTAAAAGTACAAAACTCTTTGTAAGACAGTCATCAATCACAGAAACATGTGATTTTGTTGCGTCAATTCTATTTCCGCGTGACTACTCCTCGCGTGAATAAAAGATCAAAGAAGGACGCCCCGGCCTCGACGGGTAGCGAGGTGCTCTTGCCTTAGTAAGTCTCCAGTTCGATCAAGTTTCGCACAGTGAGAAGAAATCGGATAAACTTTATCAAAACTGGTATTGATAATTTAATTCAACTTGGATTCTTAATTAAAGATCGATATCCAATAAAATGTATTTAAATTTTTTGTTATTAAAATACTCGAGATACCTGCATTATTGATGATGTGTTTATGTAATGATAAAATTTTTTCTTTGCATTTGCATTGCGTTACATTTTCAATAATTTTTGTCTTTTATTTAGATCTTTTAAATTATAATTCTTAGAAAAAGTATAGAGAAATATCAATAATATTTAACAATGAAAAAAGTAAAAGACTGGAACAACGAAACCCATCACGCTATAAATGTTTACGAAAAAGTTCTTGGCATAATTGGAGTTTGGCCCTTAAATGCGGAAGAGCACAAATCTATTGCACGATGCTTCTTAGCTATTTTGATTCAGGTAAGTGTCGAAAACTAATTATTTATATCATCAACACGAAATATTATCAAGTGAAGTTGAAGATGTATATAATAAAAAATATGTCTTGGTATTATTCTCTTTCATGTTTTCGTTTCTCATTTCTTTTCTTTTTTTGAATAAAAATATTTAGATGTTTAAAACTTTTGAGATTAAAAAATTGGAGATTAAAAATAAAAAGTCGCGCGAGAATTAACACGATCACCCCCGGCGATTAGATCAGTACTATCGGCAGTCTGTCCCTGGAAGCCTATCGGCAGTGCCTCGGTACCGAAGACATGATGGAAGCCTTTTTAATGGATCTCTCGTCTGTCGTCAGCCTCTCCAAGCTACTTGTCGTCCGGTTGACTTGGAAACACACTTACATCTTGGTAACCTCCCTTATTGACGACTGGTCGATACCATGGGACGCACGACGCAGGGAGATCATGACGAGGTACACCAACGTCGGCAGGATCGTGTCTCTGACAATATTGTACCTGGGTTACGCGTCGGGTGTGTCGTTTCTCTTTATGGCCGTGCAGTTCGACAACTTGATACCCTGGCTGAATGCGTCTGAGGCAAACAATAATGCCACCGTGTTGCCAACATATTTTCTGGCGACTTACTGCGTGTTTGGATCGTTATCCGGGATCGCCCACAGCTGCGTCCTGCTGCTACAAGTGGCGCAGATTTTTGTCAATGCCACTTCGCACTGCGGGAACGATGGTTTCTTCTTCGGTCTCACTATGCACCTATGCGGACAGTTCGAAGTACTCCAGATGGATTTCGCCGACATTGAAGTGGAGCAGCGAATCTGCAAGAGGAAAATGCGGATGTTGATTGGCAGGCATTGCCATCTGATAAGACTGGCTGACAGTCTTGAATACGCTTTCAACATGGCCATATTCGCACAGACATTGATGAGTGTACTGCTGCTTTGCGTGGAAGGTATTTATCTTTTTTTCTTACGCATCTTTTTGTAAATTATTATACTAATTTTTGCATGTACAAAATTTACAGTGATTTTTACATAATAAATGTACAATTCGTATTCAATGACAAAAATATTTTCAATTTAATGAAATATATCCGAGAAATCCTAATATCAGAAAACACGGTAATGTCTCGCGTCAAGTCACGCGCAGCAACAGCGAGGCACCCCGGATATTCATACGCGAATCGCACGCGAATTGAGAGTATCTTAGATTATCAGTTCTGAATAACGGCTAAACCGATCGAATTCTTGATAGGCTTAATCGATAGCTTGTGTTTAAATTATACATATAAGGAAAGCGTCTTTATTTTTGCTCTATATATTCTGAAAAACAGAGATATTACGACACAAAGTCAAAATGTGGAAACTTTTATTTGAGGAACGTCACCGTCGCCCTACACGTACTATACACGTACACAACACATGTAAAAAAATATAGTGGTATTGCGCATATACATGTATGTACACACACATGCAATATGAAAATGTATTAGTCTTGTACGGTTGACGCGCTCGACAGAAGATTACACTAGCGGCGCTCTGAGATTTGACAAATAAAAAAGGTTAACACAGTAGCGTCTTGCGCTTACGGTCTTACATACAGGTCTGAAAATTCCAGTAGTGGGGAAAGGTCGCTTAGAAAAGTGGTTTTTAGTTTTCTGGTGGCCGCTAGAGTCATTGTAGGGTTGACCACAGTGGCGAGGGACGTCGGAGCCGAGGGGATAATTCTCTGTCTCCATTTTTTGCCGGTTTTGCAATTCGGTACTGCGTACCACTTCGTCATTTTCCAACAATAATTTCTCATATTATCTTAAACATTTCTCATATTATCTATAACACAATAACCACACCATGTTTTTGAAACAGCTCTCTCGGGGTTTTCAGGTTACGTTTATCTGAGGACGTTTATCATAGCGACGAGTAGTAGCTATGTAGAAACTAAATGCTTCCTTAATAAGCGACTATATCCCCACCACTGAAATTGCGGCCAGTCACGCGTAGCTAAATTCACGCGCATTAAGAATATCGCGGAATAGTGCAACAAGGAAGAGAAGTGATAAAGTGAGAGATAAGAAATTATTAACGATTATAAGAGTATCGCGGAATAGTGCAAGAAAGAGAATAATATTTTTACACACAAAAGATTGCTAATAAATAATATATATTGGATATTATAAAATAAAGTTCTTAAAAAAATTCTTCATTAAAAATGCATTTTTGTAAATGATTAATCATTTAATAATTGTATTTGTCATAAATTATATTATCATAAATTTTATTGAAATGTAAAACTGCATAAAAGGTAGCACCGATTTTATTGCTATTTAAATATGTTGTAGGGGAGGTTCTTCTGAGTAATCCCCCGCAAGAAATTTGTGGGAGATGATATTAATTTAGGAGATATAACAAATTAAAGTTTCATAGTTTTAATGCTTTTTCTATTATAAAATAAGGAAAAATGAAGTTTGTCTACGTTGTATTTGTGTAGAGCAGACGTGGAAAAAGTGTTTGTTTACATTTACGGGATAGGACACTCATGGATACTTTGTCAATAATATGTTTCATCTATTTCTCGCAGTTCGTTAAAAGCTTTCAACATACGACTATATGAATTTCTAAGTCTTGTTGAAAATAGGAATAAGTTAATAGCAAATTTTAGTTTTAAAGCAGAAATAGGTTTGGGTTAGGTTATATCTTCCGGAAATGGAGCACCCCCTACGGGGGAGTGGGGGCGGAACCCACTGATCCACGCATAAACTTTCTAATCCACGCAACAATTGTAGAGTAGACCCTACTTCGCATTGTAAAGTATATGTGTGGACACAGTGGGTTCCGTCTCCCCTATGGCGGGTCTCCACTTCCGGAAGATATAACCTAACTCAAACCTATTTTCAGTTTTAAAAGTAAAGTTCGGTTGAGAAAAAAAAATTTTTTTCGGGGTGGGGGTGCAGGGGGAGGGGCTCCACCCCTTTCCCGCCAATGCATTTAATAAATAATATTTTTGAAGACCTGACTCAGAAATTCATGTAGTCGCATGTTGAAAGCTGTTAACAAACTGCGAGAAATAAGTGAAACAAATTATTGCCAAAATATCCATGACTGTGTACTTATCCCGTAAATGTAAACAAACACTTTTTCATCTGCTCTCTATAATAAATACAACGTACATAAACTTTACTTTTCCTAATATTACTTTATAATACCTGAGAAAAAGCATTAAAACTGTGAAACTTTAATTTGTTATATCTCCTAAACCAATGCCGTCCCCCACTTATTTCTTGTAAGGAATTACTCAGAAAAAACTTTAAGTAGCGATTAAATCGGAGGTGTGTTATCTTTTATGCAATTTTACCATTTTATTTATTATATTAATTATTTAATAATTGTATTTTGATCAGTTTCATAGAAAAGGATATCTCGTAATGTATCAATAATTTCGTACACAATATTTTATATTCTGCATTCGTGAACCGCAAAAAAATATTTAGATAAATCGCTAATAATTTGTTTTTATTATCTTTATTATTAAAAATAGAATTATACAACTCATATTTTCTGCTTCATTTATATATTTAATGATGAAATAGATAAACAGCAAGAATTATTTATCAATAGATTTTGAACATGGATTTTAAAAACATGGCGTCAAAATAATGGATATTTATAAGCGAATGACAAGTATCGTGGGTGTAGGGTCTAGCTCATCTAGGGAACAGCTTATTGGCAGTGGTAAGAGCAGTCACCCGGTAAGCGAAAAAGACTTGGGTTCGAGTCTCGATTCAGTGACTTTGCCTTGATATTTTACTCGCCTTTGTCTTTTTACGGGAGTAAAGAGGAGTTTATTATAAAAATCTCGAATTGAGATTTAGTTGTATCTGGTATAGAATCAAAAAATTTCGTGCCTTGCGTGCACAATAATCAATTCATAGAAAAATTATTTTTTATGAAACTGACGCATTACCATCCGCGTCTGACTCTTATTAGCCAACAAAAATTTAAACTTGTGATCAAAAATAAAAAAATTATACGAGTATTTTAACCGAAAACAGTTGTACAAAATAGCTGTTTTAATTTCTTACAAAAATAATGACACTAAAAAGTTGCGCTATCTCTAAATAAAAATGTATGCTATATACATAAAACTATATATATAAAACTTATTTATAATAAAAGGCTCTAGTAATAAATATAACAACAGAAAAAGACTATCTTCAGCATTTGTGAATTACAAAACATTGTGGATTGTCAACTAAATATGAATAATGAAGACAAAATACAAAGAACAAAATTAAAGTATGAGTTACGTACTAGAAATAAAATCAACTATGTATGCACATGTCAAAGACATTTAGTAACTCCCCGACGGATAAGGATTAACGGATTTTACGATGTAGCATGTACTTTGTAAGTTGTAAAGCGAGGTCCACCCTGCCTACCGGCGGGGGGGGGGGGGGGGGGGGGGCGAAGGCCCCCCTTGCACCCTCCCCGTGTGTGTGTGTGTGTGCGCGCGCGCGCGCGTGCTTCCTGTCCGTGCATGTACTTTGGTATATTTCAAACTTGTTTTGTTAATAACTTTTTAATAAGCAACGAGCGACGATTAAATTAGAAGAAAAAGTTACTCAGAATTATGTCCTTGATAACATATGTCAAGGTCAAGGTCATTGGGGCTGGGTCCCCTATTTGCTATATTTAGCCCAGGCCCAAACATTTCAGAGATTGTTGGGATATACGGAATGTTAAAGTAAGAAGTATGTGCGATGCTTTTATTCTCCATGGAATTTGACGTCTGTATAATAATCGTTTTATTTGCTTGTGTTGTAATTAGTGTTTTCATGCGTTCATATAAAGTTGAAAATATGAACACCAGTAGATATCCGTTTGTGAGTAATGTATTGACCACGAATTTAAGGATTTTTTTTGTGGCACGGTGACCGTGCCCTTCTTGTGGCAGAGAGGGTGTCGAGACTCAAAGTGTAAGTATCTACCGGAAAAAGTAGATTTGTGATACCAGTCAAAAGAGGTAAAATTATTTTGTATTATCATGATCACATCTAAAAAATTCAATCGGTTGTCGATTCTCTCTTCCATTGTAAACTGCAACCTCATGTGAAATGAGTTAAATGTGTGCAGCACTACGTTAAACCTGAAGGAATCGCTAACACGATATCGTCAACATATCTGTAGTAAAACGGAAAAGTAATAGGTAAAATCTCAATTGCTCTCGTTTCCAGATCTTGTAGTGTAATGTCGGAGAGAGCGGAAAACCCATTGATGTGCTGAATGTTTGTCGGTAAAATACGTCATTAAACATGAAAAATATGGAGTCAAGAACAAACCGGACTGCGCAAGAAATTCATCACAAGGTATGATACACTTTCCCTCAATAAAGCTCCATCTTTTTTTGATACTGTCCATAGCAAGATCTACCGGAATATTGGTAAACAATGATACGACATTTAATGAAATTAATTTGAATTCTTCTTGTATGTGTATGTTAGTTAATTTTTCAAATAATTGGAAACTATTGTTTATATGACTGGCAGCTGTGGGTATGGAGCTATAAATTATATTATGTAAGAAAGCAATCAATTCGTATAGCGAAATGTTTGTTGACGAAAGAATGACCCGTAGAGGACAGCCCAGCTTATGAATCTTCGGCATACCATAGGGTCTCGGTAATACCCTATCAGTGCAATTGAGTTTTTTATATGTTATGTCCGTAATGTATTCACGTTTTTCCATCTCACGAGCAACTCATAAATATTTTTAATTAGATTTTTTATAGGATCTTTTTTACCACTATATAGGTACTATGATCTTACATGCTGCACACATTTAACTCATTTCACACGAAGTTGCAGTTTACAATGGAGGAGGGAATCGACAACCGATTAAATTTTTTAGATATGACAATGATAATACAAAATAATTTTATTTCTTTTGACTGGTATTACAAATCTACTTTTTCCGGTAGATACTTACATTTTGAGTCTTGACATCCTTTCTGCCACAAGAAGGGCACAGTCATCGGCCTCATCGACAGAGCTTTCCGGTTCTTCCGTCCAAGTTTTCACTAAAAAAATCTTGAATTCGTGGTCAATACTCACAAACGGATATTCACTGGCGTTCATATTTTCAACTTTACATAAACGCATAAAAACACTAATTACAACACAAGCAAATAAAACGGTTGTACAGATGTTGAATTTAATGGAAAATAAAAGCATCACACATACTTCTTACTTTAACATTCCGTATATCCCAATAATCTCTGAAATGTTTGGGCCTGTGGTTCGTGATTTTCATACTAGAATGTCTTACACGGGCTTAAATAAACTAAGACAGTTCATCCGCGTACAAAAGGATAATTTGCCCAATTTTTTGCGCAATAACGTCATATATAAAATATTATGCAAGGACTGCAATACCTATGTCAATCAAACTAGCAGATTTCTAAAAACAGGAATTGCCGAACATCGCAACCACATACAAAGAAATATGACACAACATTCCATTATCACGGACCACAGGCTTACTAATCACGAGTTCGCATGGGATAAGGTGGAAATATTGGACGAGCAGCGTATATCTATACGGCAAGCGTCTCATGTCGGAGATGATATTCATTAGAAGACAAATTAACAGTCTTAATTTACAAAGTGATATAGAGACTTACAACAAGCATATCTCACGTTGGTGGAGAATCTATCAAAAATTTAAAGAGTTTAAAATAAGAGCGCGCGTTCCACCGCATTACCCATATGTAACAATGTTCTACATCTACAATATTCCGAATGTTTATTTATATGAACAATGTCAGACTACCCGATGTAGCTGTCATTTAAATTAACCGACAGTTATGTTTTGCTCTTCGTTGACTCGCGGTGTCTCGTTCGATGGATATAGTAAGTTGCCTTATTTAAACAACTCCGTTTCATAAATTAACACGTTAACTATTAAAGGTGTGCACAATTACAATGGTCCCTACCATCCAAAACCATACAAATGTGTCCTTTACGGCGCGTACCGGAAAGATGCTGAATGTGCTTGTCCGTCGGGGGAGTTACTAAGTATCCTTGACATGTGCATACGCGGTTAATTTTATTTCTAGTACGTAATTCATATTTTAATTTTGTTCCTTGTATTTTGTTTTCGTTATTCATATTTATAGTTGACAATCCACAGTGTATACGTTTCGTGATTCACAGATGCTGAAGATGGTCCGAAATATTGGACCAAAACGTTCATCCGAATAAAAATCGTTAAAGGAATCCAAGAAATTTGCACATTGCCTACCGTGCCAGGCTCTTAATTAGCCAGTTTTTCTTATGTTTTAAAATTTATTTATTTTCAATATTAAAAGAAAAAATATATCTAATAAATTACAATATATTTACTATAAAAATCATTGAAAAGGTCAACAATCAATATACATTCCAACCTAACCTAACCACATATCTGATAACCACATGCATATGTTCTGTGAAAAGTTTAAGAAAATAAAGATAATACAAAACAAAAAACATAAAATTAAAAATTAATAGAAAAATTAAAATATTTAGAAGTTAATACAAAAAATTAAAAAATTATACAAAAATTAAAATCTGATACAAACAAAAAAAATAAAAAAATTTTAATTTGAAAGATCTTGGTGCTGTTAACTGTCAATGTATATATTAAACCAATAAGTAATAATCTTAATTTGGATCTAAATTTAATTTAGAATTATATTTTTAATTTAGTTATATTAAAATAACTGCGTAATGTAAATGTATTAAAGAATATATTAATTTTAGTATATTGTTGAGTTTAGCAGAGCCAAGCTCTTTTAATTAAAAGAAAACTTATTTTTCTATGAAATTGACGTACTACCATCCGCGTCCGGCTCTTATTTGCCCGCAAATTTTTAAGTTGTGATTTCATTTGAGAGCCTTATTAATTTCTTAACTTATCCTTTCAGGCCGAAAGATGGCGTTAATTTCAATAGTTATTTATATATAAGGCAAATGAGAAGTATCGTGGATGAGAGGTCTGAATAGCTTAGAGCTTAGAGATAAGAGCAGTCGCCCGACAAGCGAAAGATTTGGATTCGATTCCCGATTCAGCGAGTTCGCCCTGATATTTTTCTTGCCTTTATCTCCTCGAGGAGGTGAAGAGAAGTTTATTATAAATCTCGAATTGAGATTTTAATTATATTTGGTATAACCAAGAAATATCCGGGACCCATGCACACAATTAGTTTCATAGAAAACTTATTTTTCTATGAAATTGATGCACTACTATCCGCGTCCGGCTTTTATTCGACTGCGAATTTTTAAGTTGTGCTTTAATTAAATTTTTTTTATTTTTTTGTATTAATTTTTAAATTTTGTATAAATTTTTAATTTCTTGTATTAATTTCTGAGTTTTAATTTTTCTATTAATTTTTAATTTTGTTTTTTGTGTTTTGTATTATCTTTTTTTTTATTAAACTTTCCAAGATATATGCATGTAATTATTGAAAATGTGGTTATTGGAGCGTATATTGATAGTTTACATTTTCAATGATTTTTACAATATATATATTGCAATTTATTGGATATAATTTTTCTTTTAATATTAGAAATAAATAAATTTTACATATATAGCATAAATTTTTGTTTAGAGAGTTAGCACAACTTTTTAATATCATTATTTTTGTATGAACATAAACAGCTATTTTGTATAACTGTTCTCGATTAAAATACTGGTATAATTTTTTATTTTTAGTTGGCGCAATTTTTTTAAATCATTATTTTTTTAGGATATAACATAACATTTTTTTACAACTGGCGCATGTGCTTGGGGCCTTTTTTACCTTTTTTTAAAAAAAGATAAGTTTTTGTAACTTAACAAAGGGCTTCCTGATATATTAATCGTTTAATAGATAATTAATTTATGATTTAAAATACTTATATAATTTAATATTCCGCGCATATATAGGGAAAGTAAGGTAAAACCGGATACTTTTTTGGATTTGATTTCTTACAAGAAATCAGAGAAAAAAAATTTTGCTGATCGTTAGTAGGATTTAGTGGACCTTAAACTATGAGAAAATAAGGCTAGTTGCTGAAAAAAAATATTTGGTTACCAAGGATAACAAGATTTTTTGGAGAAGTCAAAATATCCGGTTTTGCTCTACCAATAGGGTAAAACCGGGTATCCATTTGAAAATATGTAAAGCATCGTGCAATTACGAAATCTAGATTTATTTTAATCAAAATACAATACAAAGATGTTTTCTATTGACAAAAATCACTTAAAAATATCCTCTTGTTCTACATTGCTGCAGGACTTTCTTATTTAATTTTTTAACTTTAAGGGTCTTCAAAAGCTTTTTTTTTTAGTGGTTTCTTTTTCTGAGTGGTAGTTTTCGTTTCCAACTGCTTTTTGTAGGGAGACAAAGTCAGGATAACAGTTCTTCCTCATTAGATGAGGTATGTAGGTACCCGGTTTTGCCCCAACACAAAGAAAATAACAAACACGGCGGCTGCATATTCCGGCGTACAAAGTGATGATCAAAATTAATTCGATATATACTGTTTAATATGTATAGAATGCAATGCTGCATTTACCGAAGCAGATGCTCTGTGTAGAAAAAGTTCATAACGATTCGATTGTTGTTCCGATATCGATCTTTTTTGGCCCGAAAATTTCAAACTTCTCTTAAAAAAGAAATATCGTGTGCACGTGGGTACGGTTCATCTCAAAATAATGATGACATCAATCTACAACTAATAACATGAGTTAGCTAAAGATAGTAGCATTTATCACGAAGAAACGGAGATACCCGGTTTTACCCTACTTTCCCCTATAAGATTTCTTGCAGATTGTGACGCGTCATATATAGGCCAAACGAGCAGGTTATTAAAAACACGTATTAATAAACATTGTAATCACATTACAAGAAATACTTCACAGCATACGGACCATAGATTAACAAATCACGAGTTTGATTGGGAGAACATTGAGATTTTGGATGAAGAATCTAGCCTTAAAAAAAGATTGATATCTGAAATGTTATATGTATGTATATAAAACATCAAAAGAGAGAGAGAATAGTCTCAATCAACTAATTGACACAGAAAGTCTCCATAATGCGTATGCTTCGATTGTACAAAATCTAACAAAAATTTAAATAATCTTTCGCGCTTTATGGATTGTGCTGTTCCTGCTATTTGTGAAATGATTTTCTATGTCAGTCTTGTTATTATGTATTAACTAAAAAAAACAAAGGTAAAAAAATATGCCAAGAACATATTTAAAAAATAACATATAAAAAATTTTTCCAAAAAAATAAAAAATAACTAAATATGAAATTAATAGTTAACTAGCCAAGTACTTAGAAGCAATTCAGTTTGTGAGAATTTATAATTTGAAATAGTATTTGTCATAAAATCAAATTTGTATTTATAGAAATGTTATACACAAATTCTCTGCATAAAATTAAAACGCATTATATTTTTATTAAGAGAAACCTGAGTTTCAAAATAAGTTCAATAGATAGAAATGTTCAAATTCTCTCCATAAAATTAAAATGCATTTTATTTTTAGTAACAGAAACCTGATTTTCAAAATAAGTTCAATAGAAATAAAAAAATATAAAAAAATTTTAATTAATTAAAAAAGCTTGGCGCTGCTAAAATAAACAATATGCTAAAATTAGTGTATTCTTTAATACATTCACATTGCAGTTATTGTGATATAACTAAATTAAATATAATTCTAAATTAAATTAATTGTTTGTTGGTTTTAATATATACTTGAAAAGTTAGCAGCGCCAAGTTTTTTTAATTAAAATATTTTTTTATTTTTTTATTTCTATTGAACTTATTTTGAAAATCAGATTTCTGTTAATAAAAATAAAACGCGTTTTAATTTTATGGAGAGAATTTGTGTATAACATTTCTATAAATACAAATTTAATTTTATGACAAATACTATTTCAAATTAGATATGGACTTCCGTTTCCGGTGGGAGAAGGTGTACAATAAGGAAAGTGTGCTCGTAAAGAAGAGAAAAGGAAAAGTAGTGAAGGCAGAGAGGAAGGAGCGGGGAAAGATGAGTGAGAAGGGCTAACGAAGAAGAACAAGGAGGAGTAAAGGAAGGAAAAGGCGAGGAAAGGCCACAAAAAGGGAAGGAAGGAAAGGAAAAAGGAATTAGAGGTTAGGAAGCAGAAGAAGAGAGAGAGAGAGAGAGTGAAAGAAGAAAAGGAAGATGAAAATCACGTGGGAAGTGATGATGAGAAAATTGGGAGAAAGAGCGGACGGAGAGTAGACCGATAAAGAAGAAGAAGGAGTGGATAATGCAGATCGTTACCATAAGAGAGGAGAGAGAGAGAGAGAGAGTGAGAGAGGAAAAGGAAGAAGAAGGGCCGTGGCACATAGAAAAACATAAGCAGTAAAGGTAACATTTCATGAGCAGTGAAAAGCAGCAGCAGTTTAGAAAGTAACTAGAATCGGTGACGTACTTCCGGCGCAAGTTTTTGCTGTTTGAAGTTCATCCTGTTGGGCTGCGTTCGGAAACATCACCCGTGTGCACACGAGTGTCGTTCTATGTTTGTTTAACTTTTGGTACATAACAAAGATAGAACAACATTCGTGTGCACACGGGTGATGTTTCCGAACGCAGCCTTAAACAGCAAAGCAGTAAAAGCTATGTTTTGGTTATATATGTACATATATTCTAAAGTATGGAATCACCAGAGATAAGCTTGTAGGAACTATAATTATAAAAATAATTACTCATTCGGTTATATCTCAATTAATATTTAAATTGAGATTAACGATTTAAAACACTGCAGAAAACCTATTTCATGGGCAGCGCAGCAATTCTGTAAAATCACCAAACAATGCTAGTTAGTTACTAAACTGCTGCTGCTTTTCACTGCCCATGAAATGTTACCTTAAGGTATCAAGGTTTACCAAAAATTTTAATTAAAAAAACGTGGCGCTGGTAAACTAATGGTAAACAATATGCTAAAATTAATGTATTCTTTAATACATTCACATTGCAGTTATTGTGATATAACTAAATTAAATATAATTCTAAATTAAATTAATTGTTTGTTGGTTTTAATATATACTTGAAAAGTTAGCAGCGCCAAGTTTTTTTAATTAAAATATTTTTTTATTTTTTTATTTCTATTGAACTTATTTTGAAAATCAGATTTCTGTTAATAAAAATAAAACGCGTTTTAATTTTATGGAGAGAATTTGTGTATAACATTTCTATAAATACAAATTTAATTTTATGACAAATACTATTTCAAATTAGATATGGACTTCCGTTTCCGGTGGGAGAAGGTGTACAATAAGGAAAGTGTGCTCGTAAAGAAGAGAAAAGGAAAAGTAGTGAAGGCAGAGAGGAAGGAGCGGGGAAAGATGAGTGAGAAGGGCTAACGAAGAAGAACAAGGAGGAGTAAAGGAAGGAAAAGGCGAGGAAAGGCCACAAAAAGGGAAGGAAGGAAAGGAAAAAGGAATTAGAGGTTAGGAAGCAGAAGAAGAGAGAGAGAGAGAGAGTGAAAGAAGAAAAGGAAGATGAAAATCACGTGGGAAGTGATGATGAGAAAATTGGGAGAAAGAGCGGACGGAGAGTAGACCGATAAAGAAGAAGAAGGAGTGGATAATGCAGATCGTTACCATAAGAGAGGAGAGAGAGAGAGAGAGAGTGAGAGAGGAAAAGGAAGAAGAAGGGCCGTGGCACATAGAAAAACATAAGCAGTAAAGGTAACATTTCATGAGCAGTGAAAAGCAGCAGCAGTTTAGAAAGTAACTAGAATCGGTGACGTACTTCCGGCGCAAGTTTTTGCTGTTTGAAGTTCATCCTGTTGGGCTGCGTTCGGAAACATCACCCGTGTGCACACGAGTGTCGTTCTATGTTTGTTTAACTTTTGGTACATAACAAAGAGCCATATTGAAACGTAAGCTACGCTGCAAATTCCGTATGGTTGAAATTCTTAAGTCTTAAGTCTTAATGCTTAAGTTTTTTTATGTGCCCGGGCCCGAAGGGCACGTGGTAAGTGACGGTGAGAAAATTGGAAGAATGAGCGGACAGAGAGTAGACCGATAAGGAAGATGAAGCAGTGGATAATACAAATCGTTACCATAAAGAGAGGAGAAGGAACGGCGGAGGAAGACGTAGGAGGCAAGATAGGGGGAACGGAAGGATCGAGCATGCGGAGGAAAGAGAGTAGAGGTTAAGAGGCAGACAGAAGTGTGGCACTGCTCAAGAAAGGGTTAAGAGATTAGAAAAGTGATAGTAAAAGAGCAAAAGAGACAGAAAGGATCGGACAAGAAAAATGAAAAAGGCGGAAGCATGGTGTGAGATGGCGCGGGTTAATAGAAGTGGATCGAGCACATGGCGGTTTGACACGGAAACGGGAGTCAGAGGGGGAAGAGAGGAACGCCGAAAGAAAAGTCAGATGAATTGGAAGTGGACGATGAGAGCAGGAGAGGAAGAAGTGGCGTGGAAGTTAGAGGGAAAAGCGCACGGCGGTGAAGAAGAGAGAAGAAAAGAAGAGATCAAGGGAAAAGGAGAAGGAAGGAAGAGACGACAATGTACACGGAAGGGTGGATGAAGGAGCTGCTGGAAGAAGTAAGAGGGATAAGGGGAGAATTTGAAACCAAGGAGGGTAGAGAAAGGGAGAGGAAGGGGAGAGGAACAGAGGAGGGCAACAAAGACAGCAGAGAAGGAGAGCGGGGAGAGGAGGGGGAGCGGTGAAAAGGAGAGGAAGCATAGGGGCAAAGAGGAGAGATGAGGAGGAAAGGAGATGCAGGAAAAGGAGGCAGGAGTTAATAGGACGGAGAGTAAGGAAAGAAACCCTGGTGGGACTTGGAAGAGAGAAGAAGAGAAGGAAGAGAGAAAGGGAGAAAAGAGAGTGAGAGGAGAAGAAGGGAGAATGTCGAGAGAAAAGGAGGCAAGGGAAGAGAAAAGAAGAGGAGGAAAGAGCGAAGATGAAGGATAGAAGAGAGCACAGAGGAAGAGAAAAAAGGAAGGGAGAAAAGGAAGGTGCATGGTGGTAAATAATAGGAGACTATGGATTGATGGGAAAGAGGGGAAGTGGGATGAGGAGAGGAAGATAGGGTGGGGGAGAGGGAGACAGGAGAAATGTGTAGGGGGGAGAGGTGACAAGAAGGGGAGAAGAAGAGGTGATGAGAGTAAAGGACTGTAAGAAAGTGTGAGAGATAATTGGAACATTGTAAGATTGTAAAGTGTAAAAATTGCAATTCCATAGGGGAGTGAATAAAGACCATATCTATCTATCTACTATTTCAAATTACAAATTCTCACAAACTAAATTGCTTTTAAGTACTTGGCTAGTTAAGGGGATCCAAAGCTCGACTTTGATGTTTGTCATCTCGCTTGCTTCTTCATTATTATAATCTTGAAAAAAATGTTACAGGACTTTTCTGTTCAGAATAACACCCTCTACCTTCCTTTAAAGGGTGTTCCGCGAATTTACAGTAGTTAGTTAGCCAGAGGCGGTCAGTTCGTGGCTGGTTGTTTTAAGAATATTTGACACCAAATGCGTTTTGCATGTTCGCTTTGGTTAAAAAATATATGCCAGAGGCGATTAATTCGTGAGCTGGTTGTTATTTCACACTAGATGCGATTTGCATGTGCGCTCTAAATATTGCCGAAATATTTGATCCCAGAAGCGATCTATTCACTCAAAAAAGTGGTAGTGCAACTACAGCAAAAATTTTCTGGGTGCGCAAAATTAACTGAGGTACATAAATGATTAGCAAATACTGTGATATCGCATATGTTTCGCATTTAATCAATCTAAGTGACAGAGACAGAATTTATATCTGAGTGTTCGTGAACTGGTTGTAAATATTTCATACCAGATGCAGTTTGCATGTGCGCTCTAGATATTGCCGAAATATTTGATCCCAGAAGCGATCTATTCGTGAGCTGGTTGTAAATAAAAGCTTACAAATCATTGGAAGGAATTGTAGTGATCACTGGCGATGTATTTTCTTTGATGGCACTAAACTTCGCGTATATGATAGCCTACTTGGCTGTACATACGGTAAAATGGTAGCTAAAGAGAAAAATTATATACATCTACGTTATCCTACAATAAATCAAGCTAACATTATTTTTGAAAAGGTTCAAATACAATCTGATGGCATATTTTTTGTGGGATTGTTGTGGGATTTACGCTGCGGCTTTCGCCACGACTATAGCCTTAGGATTTCATATTTAGTTTTTATTTCTTATTTTTTAAGAAAAATTTTTTATAAGTTATTTTTTAGATATGTACTTGGCGTATTCTTTTTTATCTTTGTGAGGTTTTTTTAGTGATTTCACTGCTTTTTGTAATTATTCTTACTTCATATTAGTATATTAATATAACAATAAATCACACGTAATTAATATCTGCTTCGATAAATAACAATCGCTTATGAATCGTTAATTTTTAACTGTCATAGAGATCGAGTTTCAGATATCTTTTAATAATTTTCGCGATCGCGTATAACGAGATACATACTATAACGACACATTAAGCTGTTGCCTACGCGCTGTCACTGTATGAATGACAACAAAGTGAGACATTCCATACACAATACAATAGCGCTATATATGCCGCATACCGACACGCGTCTTTGTTTACTTATTTGGCGGTATGATCATGCAGTGTAATGGGATGTACATATGCACATATTCTCTCTCTCTCTCTCCCCCTCCGCCTCCCTCCCGCGCACCCCCTCCCACTCTTCCAAAGGGGCCCTAAATCCTTCCCACTCTCCCTCCCTCTCTCCCTTTCTCCCTCCCTCCCTCTCTTGATAATGATAAAGAACGAAAAATGTCACAATTCTGATATACGATCATCATTTCTCGGGATTGAGTGCATCAATCTTATTCGAACCGGTCGCAATCGAAAGTTTGTATTCAGAATTATATAATAAAAGTGCCGTTAGATTTTTGATTATGGCTTTAGTTCCTGAGGTATTTTAATCGAAAGTTTATTAGACGTAAAACTCCAGATAAGTTACTTGATAGCGCCGTGGCGCCTGTACATAGGCAAACTGTTGACAGCCAGTCAGTGTTCTTTTATGTACTTGGCGTCG